CGCAACGCGTAAAATGACAGTATAAGTTATTATAATCCGTAATTATGTCCCCACTGGATGCTACAGATGCCTTGTTTATAATGGGTTTTATTGGTTTTGTCTCGTCGTGCATCAAAGGCATCACAGTATGGTGAGGGGCGTAACATTTCCGTCACACGCTTGAGGTATTCGGCCAATCACAACGCACTGGATAGCTGGCCAATCAGAGCACACCTCGCTTTTCAGACCAATGAACTTTGTAAAAATCAGAAAGGCGGGGCATAGAGGAGAAACAATAATGTACAGTATGTGGAAAATAATGTGTTTTTTGAACCTTAAACTGCATAAACACATTTCATTACACCAAATACACAAAATAATGTTCTTTTTAGCAACGTCATATGACCCCTTTAAAAGGATAATTTTGTGTTCCATGAAAAAATAACTGTTTTATGTTTGTAATGGCATAAGAATCAGTGGCATGCACAGACCTCCTGAGGGGCAGGGGACAAGCGACGTTACGAGGGCACAATTGCGGTCCGGGGGCACATAGACCAGATCGAAAGGGCACTTTAGCATCGGCGATTAAAAGGGCAGCCCCGCCCCCCCGTGCACACCACTGAAGAATGAGTAAATAATGTCAGAATTGTCAATTTGGCTGACTATTTGTTTACGGTTACATTTAAACGTACTAGCTAGTCACATGAGGTACAGTAGTTTCATAGAATGATTTACCATAAACTTGTTAAAATGTGCTCAAAAAGCACTGGATTGACTGATTTACTAAAGTCAGAAGTATGCAATAGCTGCAGTGTTCCTAAGTTTCCTCCTGGTGTGATCTCTGTACAGGTCGTCTCTCTGGGATTGTGCCACCTGGGCCTAGTCCTTCTCTTCTGGCTTCACTGCAGTCCCTTGTTGAACACAATGATCACATGCTCCTCCCTCATTCCTTACACCAGGTGTGTGCACTGAGAGTTTGAAAAGGTTACTCTCAAATAAAGCCCATAGCCAAAACAAAAACTGGCATGAAAAGACCTGGTTGTCTTTTAATAAAAGTGTGCATACGTGTTTTTCTCTCTGCATCCGTCATCAGATACACCTAGATTGTTAATAAAATAGAAGGATGACGCAGTCTATACTGTTACCTGATAAATGTTCATGTGTATTCTGTGGACTAATAAACTACACAAATTTCCACAGGGTAGCAAGATTACTTTTGTTTGGGATATTTTAAGGAAATAAAAGCTTTCTGTGGAAACGGTATAAAATAATTAAGAAGGTCATTTGGAATTTTTATAGGAAACTCATGCAATTCTGAGTTTATATTTTCCAATTTGTAAATTGTAAAAAAAAAAAAAATTCATGGCAGTAACAAAAAAAAACAGAATTTCAGAATGTAAACTCAGAATTGAGAGAAAAAAATGTGAGAATTGCAAAATATAAACTCAGAATTCTGAGAAAAAAAATCAGAACTGAGATATAAACTCAGAATTGCGAGATGTAAAGTCTGAGTTTATATCTTGAGATTACGAGAAAAAAATTTGTGAGATAAAAAGTAATTACTTTTTTTTTTATCCTGTGTCAGAAACAAGCTTCTATATCTTTCTGTTTAAACTGCCTCAATAAATTCAGCCAAAACATGATATAAGTAGTACAAAAATGAACTATTCTGGTTTTTCTGTATTTTGTCAGCATTTCCGGGCATCCAAATAAGCTTCAACAATTATTAACTAAACACCATGCACATTTATAATCAGATCTGTCAACAAGACAAACTACCGAAATGTGCTCACTGGAGTTGTTTTTTCAATCTCCCTGTAGAGTTATAACAGGGGGAGCAAATTGCTTCTCAATGAGATTATTATAGTTAGATAAAATCAAGAGTACAGTAGAAAACAATTCATTTTCCTGTCTTACACTAAATATAGACAATCCATGTAAGAGAATTCATTAGATGGGCAAAGATAGAGCAGTTATTTCTTGCACGTGACTTTCCTCATTCACACTCACTGTCAGACCCATTCACATGTTCATGCAGTACCGTCCCTTTAAAGATGCTCTTCACTACAACTAATGAAATCAAGACTCTGGATTCAGATCTAACAGGAAGTAGACTTTGATCGACCAGCTGAGAGTGTTTTAACAGAACACTTGATGAAACTGTCTTTGGAAGATAAATGTGGTAAGGAGATGTAATATTTAACTTGCTGATATTTGCCTTCCATTACAGATAGCGGAGGGCTACTTCCTTGAAAAGGACTGTATCCTTTTTTGAATGTAAATCCACCCCTGTATTTCTCCTGGTTTCTGTCTGTTTCCTCTCTGACTTTCCTTTACTATCACTAAATGGTCCCTGTTGATGCTGCTGTCATAGTGACCAGGGTAAGCGTAATCAAGAGTCTCATTAGGGTGTGTCTTTCCATGTTGACTTGTAGGGTGTTGCACAAAAGGAAGGATGTTGATAGATTTTTAAGTAATTTGAAACAGTGAAAGAAAGATTTATTTTATAATTGTCATCATATGGTCTTCCTTTTTTTTTTAAAGAAGTATCTCATATTCACCAAGGTTGAATTATTTGATTAAAAACACAGGAAAAACAGTAATATAATTGTAAAATATTAAATTTTTATATAACTGCTTTCAATTTTATATAGTTTAAAATGTACTTCATTCCTTTCATGGCAAAGCTGAATTTTCAGCAGCCATTACTCTAGTCTTTAGTGTCACATAATCGTTCAGAAATCATTATGATATGCTGATTTGGTGCTCAAGAAACATTTCTTATTATTAACAACGTTGAAAATTGTTGTACTACTTAAGGGGAGACACTGCAGGCAAAAACAGATATCTAAACCTAACATTTTAGAAAACTTGTAATACAAAAAATTTTGGCAATTATCAATGTAATCAATCAGCTGGGTAAGTAAGGTGATAACTATTAGTTATTTTTTTACCCAATTCACCTGCAGTGTCTCGCCTTAATATTTTTGTGGAAACCATGATACATTTTTTTTAATTCTTTGATGAATAGAAAGTTCATAAGAGCAGCATTTATTTGAAATGGAAATATTTTGCAACATTATAAATGTCTTTACTGACACTTTTGGTCAATTTAATGCATCCTTGCTGAATAAAAGTATGCATTTCTTTAAAAAAAAAAAACTAATCTTTGAAAAGGATATATATAGAATATGGATACACACACACACACACTTTTAAGTGTTGGTTTCTTTAAGCATCGAGCATTTCAGATCAGTGGGCAGTGGAGTTTCTTCATCTGGAGAAGCTTTATCATGAAAGACTGCTGTCTAATCTGGCCTCCATACAAGATAAATGGGGTAAGGATGCCAGATGATTATGGATAATAATATGAAAAAATATTTCCTGAAATAACTTTAACCAGGGGAGGTTACATTGTTTACATGTGAGGGAATTTCCTGAAGCATTGTTTTATCTTGTAAGGATGAGACTCCTTTTGTAAATAGGACAAATGCTAGTTTCATCCTTCATAACTAAACAGAAGTGGAATGGTTTGAGCTCAGGAAATTGCTCATTTCCTAACTGCACTTCATTGCCCAGACCACATGTGACTCTGTTACTTAACCAGTATCACTGAAGTACAGAGGTCAGACTCTCCCTTCTTATTTGATTAACTGGCAACAAGACCTGACTGTGGACTGTAGCTTTTTTGGTACGAAATATTAGGAACTGAGAATAGCATGTATGTTTTTAGATTGCTTTCACATATTCTATGAGTAGGTAAATGCATGGGAGACTATGAGACACAGTCAAAATGATTCAAAGACTCAAATCCATATGTTTGGTTTCAGAGTCCCAGAGGACAATCAGCGTGCAAACTGAAAGTAACTCTCCTTTAAACTCGAATGGAACTGACAGAGAGAGAGAGCATATGGAACTGTTGAGTCATATCTGCAAAACACACCAGAGGTGAGACTGTGTGCAGACAAGGACTGTCCAAGCAAGTAGAAAATAATAATAATAGCATTTTTTTCCTTCCCTAAAATATTTATTCCTGACAAAACCAGGCCTCATCAAGCCCCATCAATTTAAACAGATTTATAGGGGAAACATAAAAAAATTAGATGTATGTACTTTTCCTTATTTTCACGTTTTACTTTACTTAATTTTTACTTAATATATATATATATATATATATACATACATATATATATACACAAATTAAAGTGACGTGGCCAAGTATGGTTACCCATACTAGGAATTAGTGCTCTGCGTTTAACCCATCCTAAGTCCTAAGTGCACACACACACAGCAGTGAACACACACACCCAGAGCAGTGGGCAGCCATTTATGCTGCGGCGCCCGGGGAGCAGTTGGGGGTTCAGTGCCTTGCTCAAGGGCACCTCAGTCGTGGTACTGAAGGTGGAAGAGAGCGCTGTACATTCACTCCCCCCACCTACAATTCCTGCCGGACTTGAGACTCGAACTCGCAACCTTTGGGTTATGAGTCCGACTCTCTAACCATTAGGCCACGACTTCCCCCCCATGTTTTTTTTTAATTTTATTTTTTTATTAAAAATTAAACATTTAGATGTGCATATTATATTACATAGAAAATTGAATTCTACTTCTCCTTTTTCAGACCTAACCTCTCTTTGGAAAAGGTAAAACATTGCACTTGTTTTATTAGCCACCTATGCAGTTTATGTTTTTGTGAGTCTGATTAAAGCCGTCTGTTATTGCAGAACATGGACGACATAAAACTACACAACTGCCCAAGCCTCGTGTCAAAACACAGAAGATCAAAACAAGAACAAGCTTCAGTGAACTCAACCGAGAGAGAGAACCGGGCGGAGGACTGCTCATGGCCAGAAGCTGAACAGGAGCCAGAAGAGGACTGTGAATTGAATGAGGAGGAGGAGGAGGAGGAGGAAGAAGAGGATGAGGAAGGTCTTGAGGAGGATGAGTGCTGGAATGACGAGCTGCAGGATGACACAGTCGTTGACGGCCAAGTTCCTGCGGATGAGCTGGCCAGCCTTATTCAGGTAGAAGAGGTAAGACGCTGTAGGAGTGATGTTAATCTCTTACATGTTACCATCTGCCCTTAGAAAAACTAAGCATGCTGAGACACCATCCGTCTGCTGCAGTCTTTCCAAACCATCCGCTTACTGAACGATTTGTATTCCTCAGGGCCTAAGTATGCAATGTATTAATCTGGGTCCTCAAATTGAATTTATATGACTTTGTAAAAGGTCAAGTGGGACTTTCTTCCAATTCTCAGGCCACATTTCTTAGCCACAGGGTTTCTCTGCTTTGTGAAAGTAAAATAGCGTGATGTCATCCACAGCATTATGGCAGCCAGCTGCAGGAATTTTATAAAGAAGCGTTCAGGGAGTGTATGGTTTCCCAAAGCTATTGGGTGTGGTCGTCTTAAATAACAGTCCAACTGCATAAACCTTTTCCAGAGCTGCGTCAGACGCGCACTGTGTCAGAAAGAGTTCCTGACTTTTTCAATCAACACACACGACAGCTAAATGATGCATTACATGATTTGTTTGTTTGTTGTACACTATTATTTTATAGTGATTTGAAGACTCTGCAATTTTGTTTCGGCCTCTGATTTGACTTGAAAAGCAAAAACAAACAACAAAATAATTTTTACATCATGACATACTATGAGCCATATTAGAAAAACAAACATGTAAACGTTAAAAAAAACCATGTAAATGACAGGATTTTCATTTTTATATCAACTATCCTTTGTGAAAAATAAGTGTGCTGAAATGAATTGAATTTGCACTTGTAGTGTGCTTCAAATCTTAAAAGTATATTTAAAAAATATGAAATACATAAAAGAAATAAAAAGGCTACATTAGTGTACTTAAAGCGAGTACACGTTCATGACTTTCTTGCACTGAAGGACTCTTTTAAAAAGTGCACTTTGTAATGATGTTAAATTATTTTTTTTCATATCACTATGGTTTATTCATCTTTTGTCATGCTTTACATAAGTACACTTGTTTTGATTTTAGAAAAAAATATGAAATTACATAAAGATGTGCTTTAAAAAGCACTGTTCAAATCAAATATGTTTTATATATATATGGCGTAAAATAATAAACTAGTACATTTTCATGTAATTGTAAATAACTTGCCGTTTTCTGTCTGAAAATATTACATTTAGTTTGCGCTTGTATAATTTCCATAAAAATGCTCTTTAAAAGTGCACTTATTTTTCCCAAGGCTGTTGCACATACTGACCCCTTGTGGTCACTGGCTGTTATTACATTATTTGCTATGAATGTGTTCTTAAAAATCATATTGTACAGTCTATTTGAAGCATTTTCATACTTTATTTCTGATATTTCTGTAGAGGTTTCCCTCAGACGGCTTAGTGTCTATTTTAAAGAAGAGAGTCTGCGCCAGGGAAACAGAGAAAGCCTCGCTGCTAAAAGACTCAATCAAACGCAGAGTCCGCTTTAGAGAGCCAGGCGATGCTTTCGATCAAGGTACGATTGTAAGCATATATTCAGACAGGGCCTTTATGTATTCAGATTTCTGTTCTGCATTAATGTGAGACTGATCAAAGCTCATCTTTCTCATGCATACAGACGAGTCGGCCCGAAACTCTTGCCTCATCCTTCTCGTCTTGTGTCTGGTTACTGTGGTGATTAGCATGGGTGGGACTGCTCTTTATTGTCTCGTTGGAGGGGCGTACTCAAACGTGTGTGCTGACTTCTCGCAAAACGTGGACTTTTACTTTGGACCTGTACGACGAGGAATGGACGCTCTCGCACAGTGGCTCTCTTCTGATGCATCATAGCAGCTATTTTATGCAGTGGAACTATTTCTTCATATTATCATTTCCAATGATTAACAACAGTATTCCTCTTGAGATAATATGCACTAATGCACATTACCAGACGGGCCTTAATAAATGTTGCTTTAGTGAGTCACACAGGGCTTCCTAATGCATAAATACATTTGTATAATGTATTTAATATTGGTACAAAAACAGGTTATTACAGATAATCCTTATATAACACTTATTATAGATAATCTTAATATACTGTACCACTGCCATTCTTTGAATCAGTAACTATACATGCATTGAAATAACTGCCTATGCAGCCAGCGATATTGTTTTTTGTACATTTTAGTACTCCAAGACACTATATTCCATGCTTATCTTTGTATTTATGCTTTTATTTTGACTTGGCACTTTTCATTGGTGCTATAATCACTGAAATTCATACAGTATGAACAAAAATAAGCATAAATGGATGTATGTTGAAGGAATAGTTCACTCAAAAATGAAAATTGGCTCATAATTTACTTAGCTTAAGGCCATCCGAGATGTAGATGAGTTTGTTTCTTCATCAGAACAGATTTGGAGAAATGTAGCATTACATCACTTGCACACTAATGTAACATCTGAAGTGAATGGGTGCCGTCAGAATGAGAGTCCAAACAGCTGATAAAAACATCACAATAATCCACAAGAAATTCAGATCAATCCATCTTGATAAATGAAAAGCTACGTTTATAAGAAACAAATCCATCAGTCAGGAGTTTTAATTTTAAACAACAAATATTAACCAAGAAAGCAATATTATGGATAGACGACTCAAATTTTAACCGGCAGCAACTGTTTGAAGTTACAAACGTCTTTATGATGAATTTGTTTATTACAAACACAGCTTTTCACTTCACAAGACATTAATTAATGGACTGGAAGTGATCCTTTACTGTAGAGGATCCACTGTAATGCTACATTTCTCCAAATCTATACTGATGAAGAGACAAACTCATTTACATCAACATTTTTGGGTGCATTATTGCTTTAACTATGGGATATTAACTTATCAAAATGGCTTTATTATTAACATAGAACATGAACAGGTTGAATAATAACGATGATCGATTGTTCTGACTTGATGTCAGTTAATCGTTGCTCCAACACTTAGTCAGCAGGTACAAAATATAAAATGTTATAATTGTAGTATTGCACAGTATAAAAGACAGCAATCAATCAGTTTATTTTAATTACAAATATGATTTGTGTTCAGCAGTCAAAATGAGTGTGAGTTTTTGTGGAATATTTTAAATATTTTAATATGCTCAGAACCAGAAACCTGTTTCGTTGTATGCTCTTTTTTCTTTCCCAAGTAGTATACATGATCTCTGAATTATGACTAGAAATGTGTTTTTTATATTTAGAAAGTGGTTTATGGTTTATCCTGTAGCTCTGTCTATAATAATATTGGATTGGTCCTCTGAATGGAAGAAAAGATGACGCAGCAGGAAATGGAATTGGCACACATAATAAAACCTATGGTGAAGTAGGAGCATTTCTCTTTGGAAACCCACAGACTGACTCATAGCTAATTTCATTTCAGAATCCAATAACAACTTCTCTGACAGTTGAAGCATTAAGATGCACAAAGCAAAAAATATTAGTGACACAGGCCTGATCAAGAGGCAGTGTCATGATCATGATTGCCTTGCCAAATGAACAATATGATTGAATTTGAACATGCAACTGTAATGCAAAGTATGTATTGAAATCATTCAAATTGCTTAATTACATTTTTAAATATGTGAATCGTAACATACAGTGGGGGCCAAAGGTCTGAAACATTAACACCAAATTATTGGTGTTATTGGCAGACATATTAATAATTTGTAATAAAAAATGTATTCATAAATAGAAAATTGTGTTAAACTGTAGAAAAATGATAAATAGAAGAATTTTTATAAGGGGTCTGACTTTTAAATTTGACTGATGTCTTCAAAACAGTGTTAATTCAGTCACTAACAAGCTGTGATCTTACAATTTATCAACTGACATTCAAATGTAATTTATTGCTAGGTATATGCATATGTTTGCTTTCATATATAATATGTTAATGGTCACAAAATATACTTGTACCCTCCTCTGTGTAACTGTTGTGGTAATATCACCTTTCCAGCACGAGATGTCTCTCTACTTCAATGTGTGACAGTTTCTGGAATCTTCACCCACGAACAGTTGGATTTATGGTTGAGCTACACTTATCAGAAACACAATCTGATCCACTAAACGCCTGTATTGTGCACGGACACTGTACAGTGACAGCAGAGAGAGAGGAGCAGCAGCGGTCGCTCTGACCTCGTCTGTGTTTGCCTCGCACGCGGATCACACTCACAATGGCGACGCTCACAACGTCAAGCAAAAGACCGTACCATATCATAGTGTTCGGAGCGACCGGTTTTACCGGCCAGTTTGTAGTGGAGGAGGTTGCGCGGACGTGTAACGAGGGTCCAGGAGGGACTTTTCAATGGGCTGTAGCCTGACGAAACCGCGACCGACTGGAAAAAACACTCATTCAGGCAGCTGACGCTCTGCGTACGTGTTTGACTCTGTACATTTGGACTTTGAAGTTTTTGTTATTGTACTTTAAATTGAAGTGCCCATGCCACACATAATATACATATACTGAATTGCAGAATATATAGAACGGAAATAGAATAAAAAAATAATAGAACCGAATAGTAACTCTATTTATAAGCAGCGCCACAATGTACATATGTTGTACATGTGTAATTACAATGTAATTATTTTAGACATAGCCTACGTGTGACTTTGTAGCATAATAATAAAATGTGTCATGGTACCCTAAAATACCACATATGTTATTCTATAGTGTCAAATGCGATATATATATATATATGTGAGTGTGTGTGTGTGT